GTATTTCTGATTAAATAAATGAAGCCTTGGTGAGCAGGAGAAGCTTATTTTAAAACATTTCAAATCCTACTTCAAACCTTTTACTGGTAGTTTTTTTTTTGTTTAATTTTTTTACACAAATATGTTAAGCCGACTTCCCAGAGATGGGTTGCGGCTGAAAGGGTATCTGCTGCGTAAACATGGTGGATAAGTTGGCGGTTCATTCTGCTGTGGCGACCCGGATTAATAAAGGGACTAAGCCGACAAGAAAATGATTCATTTATTTTCTTGTCGGCTTAGTCTCTTTATTAATCCGGGGTCGCCACAGCGGAATGAACTGCCAACTTATCTAGTGCGTTTTTATGCAGCGAATGACCTTCCGTCCGCAACCCATCCCTGGGAAACATACACATACACACACACACACACACACACACACATATACTCATACACTACGGACAATTTAGCCTGCCCAATTCACCTGTACCACATGTCTTTGGACTGTGGGGGAAACCAGAGCACCCGGAGGAAACCCACGCGAACGCAGGGAGCACATGCAAACTCGTTCGGTGGTGAAAAATTGTACTATGGCAGCTGGAAGATATTAGACAGTGAGTGAGATACTAAAAGTAATACTAAAAAAAGGTGATAACTATTTTAAGCATAAAAAAACACTTGTGTGTACTTTTTGTATCTCACTTACTGTCTAGTATCTTCCAGCTGCCATAGTACAATTTTTCACCACAATATTTTCAAAACAATTCTAAGAAGCAGCAGACTAATCCCACCCTCTCTTTCTTGTCAATCAGGTCTATTCCTCATCTTCTTCTGCACTACCAAAAGAGACAAGCTGCAAATCACTGATGACACAGGAACGGGAGGAATACTCCTCAAATCCAACACAGAGGCACCTGGGGAAGAAGTGGTAAGAAAAACATCTCCTTTTACTCACTTACATCAAGCAGAGAAACAACAATAAGATGTTAACCACATTTGGATGGGATGCGTTTGTCCTTTTCAGAAAGATGGAACTCTATTGTTGATCCCTACAGCAGATGTAGTCGACGGTTCTTTTCAGAGCGCTGTTACGGAGAGCAAGAACGTGAATACAGCTCCTGGACGATATGGACAGCAGTTTTTCCAGAGCGGCGGAGTTTACAACACCACCACTCAGGAGTTCGGCACAGATCAGTACTACACATCTGGACGCTACGATAACAAGATATATGGCAACGGCACTCTTCAGAAGTTCTCAAATACTGGTACCCTCGACACGTGGAGAACCAACGGGTGCTACTTGGACAGAGTGAGTTCCTTTTACATTCTGTTTTAATCTGAATAGTTAATCAATTAAAGGTCAAGTATGTCATTTCAAAGGCCCTGTTTACACCTTGCGTTAGAGTGTTCAAAATAGTTTGCATCAAAAATTCTGAAAATTGTAAGAAAATTCTGATACTATTTACTCAAACTCCACTTCCAAAACAGTTATCAATTTTCCCAGCAATTATCAAAATATCTTGATTTTGTGTTCAGCAAAAAAGTTTATAACCACATCATTTTGTGGGTGAACTGCCCTTTTAAGGGTGTTTTATGAATTATTCCACTATGAATGGGCTATTGATGTGCTAGGAGACAATAGCCCCTTTCACACATACAGACCTTTCCGGAAAATTGCCGGCAATTTTCCGGAAAGCTTGTATGTGTGAACAGGTCCTTTTTTAAAATACCGGTAAATTCGTTCTTGCTATTTTCTTGCTAGAAGTTGTAACATTACCGGCAATTTGCCGGAATGCTGCGCTGTGTGAATGCAGATGGAAGATTGCCTTAATAAGCGCGTGCACGTCTAGAACGTGCTGACGTGAGACGTCTGCTTTAGCCAATCACAACAGTCAGACGCATTTACGTCCGCCCGGTTTATGAGAATAAAAGCCTTTGAATATTTTTCCAGACACATTTAGCTGCTAGAAGTTAGTCAGATCACGTTTATATGTTCTTCTTAATGCCAACTGTGTAAATAATCATCGATGAGATGCTTATGATAAGCCGTTGTTTGTTTACCTTCAAGCTTTGCGTGTGCCTGTGAAACAGCCTGTGAGCGCCTGCACACGCACATATTATGAACATCTCGACATGCGAAAGTGATCCTGCGAAAGTTGTTCACAATATTGATCATCCACAGAGTTTGTAATTTAGTCAAATGTTTACAAATACGCAGCCGTTATAAGCGCAGCCGTTTAAAGCTCATTTGTGGTGAATGATGTCAGAATTTACCGGTATTTTGGAATGGATGTGTGAATGCTCTTTTCCGGAAAAATTCTGTAACGTCCTCGCCTGTGTGAACAGCGCGTTTATGAATATACCGGTAAAGTCGTTCCGGAAATTTTCCAGATATTTACCGGTATCACTGTGTGAAAGGGGCTAATGAAAAGCCTTTATATTCGAATCAAAACATTTGTTTTTTTTTCCATATTTAAAAAAAATAATATTGTGCATATTGTGTCTTTTACGTGGTCAAGTTTGTTCTTTCAAATACAGACACACAGTTTATGCACGCAAATATAAAGTTACACAGTCTCGACACACTGATGCTCCTACAGCGCTGAGAGTTGATGGTTAGACAAGATCCAGCCAATCAGCTTCACGCTTTGTATGGATTATACATATTTCAGTAATAATGGAAGACTAATTATCACAAACAAATGCAGAGCACCCGAACACTGTGCTGTTACATTTCATTCATAAATAAAAAAAAATGTATTAGAGCTGCAGCAAGGGTTTGTCAGCTTAGCAACAACAGACACCACCACACAAACGTGAGCTCAGACTTGTGCTGATGTTGGTGGAGGAAGCACTTCCCATGTGGTTTTAAACGTGATATCTGAACGGCCACTGGAACTGCTGCAAGGTTGTGGCAGGTCAGTGTGTCAGTCATTCATTTTGTTGATTAATTCAAGTGGCTGATTTATTAAGAGTCATTTGATTTGTTTAAATCAGTGGCCACCAAACTTGTTCCTGGAGGGCCGGTGTCCTGCAGATTTTAGCTCCAACTCTAATCAAACACACCTGAACAAGCTAATCAAGGTCATACTGGGTATACTTGAAACATCCAGGCAGGTGTGCTGAGGCAAGTTGGAGCTAAACCCTGCAGGGACACCGGCCCTCCAGGATCGAGATTGGTGACCCCTGGTTTAAATATTTAGATTCATTTATCAATGAACACCACTGTTGACTAGAGTTGTAAATTTCTCAGTTCAGCTCGAAATAAGTATATTATTATAAACTGATTTTCATTAAAGGGATATTTTATTCACCGTAAAATAAAAATACTGTCATCATTTCCTCACATTCCACTTCTGTTGAACAGAAAATTTCCGGAAAATTACCCTAAATTTTCAAAAAAGGGATCATATGTGAACAGGCCCGTTTTGAAAATACCGTTAAATTAGTTCCATCAATTTTCCGTAAAGAGAAGTTGTAACATTTATCGGTAATTTGCTGGAATGCTGCTCTGTGTGAATGCAGAGGGAAAATAGCCCAATAGAGACATCTTCAGCCAATTAGAACATTCAGATGCGTTCACATTCACACCGTTTAAGAAAAAAAAGCCTTTGAATATTTTTTTCAGATACATTTAGCTGCTAGACAAATCCAAGTGCAGAGGTTTAGATGTCATTTCGTTTAATAATGTCAGAATTTATCTGTATTTTGCAATGGATGCGTGAACGGTCTTTACCAGAAAAAAAATCTGTTAATTACTTGCCTGTGTTAACAGCATTTTTCAAAAATATTCAGTGAAGTCAATCCATAAGTTTTCCAGATTTTACCGCTATCACTGCACAAAAGGGGCTATTGATTTCCAAAATACTTCTTTTCCTACTATTGATGTTTATGGCTACAGGTTTCCAACATTCTTCAAAATATCTTCTCTGCTGTTTAACAGTAGAGAAAAATCATAAAAGTTTGGAGGCATTTGAAGGTATATGATGAATAGTTTTACATTTCTGGCTAAATTCAACTTAGACTGGCATTTCAGCAAAGAAAAGGTCACCAATTTCCTCACAGAAACTAAGCTTCAGCGTTGTGTTTAAAAGTGTGAGAAACCTGACAATTCATTTTGTCAAAACAATCAATAAACTATATATCAATGTGTAAGTCTACTTCATCATTAAAAATAATGTGAATGATGACATTAACATTAATACCTGTGCATGTGTTTCATTTTTTTAGAAATGAGAATATACATAAACATTCATGTAAATTATAAACCGACTAGCAAAATAATGTAATCTACTATTTCCACTGAAGTCCTTTTAGGAATTTTGCTAAATATATATTTATTTTCTGTCAGAAACTGGCTTATTTCGGAGAGCAGGAGGACGGGCGGTACGCAGACGACCTGCTGAAGAACTATGGGAATGAAGGGGTTGGATCTTCTGCAGGATCAGTGGGATGTTGTAGCATCTTGGGTGAACAGGAATCCATGGAGTTTTTGAATACTCTCGGCCCCAAATTCAGACCACTGGCTGACATCTGCTACACCACAAACAAAACCGGAAAGTAAAGCAAGACTGACTGAGATGAGAGAGTACTGTATGATGTTTGCCCGGTCAAAGCACATTGCAAAAAAAAATGCATTCCTAATCAGTGTTTTTGTTTTGTTCTCCTGTAAAAAAAATCCTTAAAATTTGTTTAAATACCTGAAATTACTTAAGAAGTGGAAAGAGAGTTTTCTCAATATTATTATTTAAACTACTGATTACATTTCTTCCAAGGTTTAAAATGAATATTTTGTCATTTAGAGCATCCAAAAGCAAACAAATATGCTATTTTCTTACATTTATATTTATATTTTTTATAAATTTTTACCATCATTCTACTAAAAGAATCAGTATTTGATAGTTTAATCATGATTTTAGAACAAATCGGTTATTTTAATTAACATTTTATATAAAAATAAATAAATAAATAAATAAATAAATGAATGAATAAATAAAAGCTCTAATTGAAAACCTATTTCATTTAAATTATGGATGAAATGTTATAAAACGGTTCTAACCTTAAACCTGCACAACCCAGTAAATTCAGAGAAGCAGAGAATTATCAAGTGGTCTATTAATAATTTCCATATAGCTGTAAATATAAATATAAATATTATTAGATGATTCTAAAATTGCTTACAAATAAATGCTAAAAAAAACTATCTGTTAAAAACATCTCCAGATGTTTGTTTCTCCAAATGTTGAGGATGTTTAAACAAGACAAGAGTATGGATTTAAAATATTCCTTTTACAGTTCATGTCTTTCCTGCTGGATTAGGAGTGTCTGTGTGTGTGTTAACTTTTGTAAGTGAAGTTTTTTTGAGTGTGTGAATGATGCAGATAAGCTCTTCTAGGATTGTTTGCTCAGCTTTTCCAAGCCTTTTTTCTCACAGAGCTTGGGAAAACAGTTCAAACGTTAGAATAAAGAAGAGACATTTTTTCTCCCCCTAGTCATCTGCAATTGCGTTTTCAGCCGCGTGAAGTATTAACCGAGTCTGCATTTACAAGACCATCATGAAGTTTGCTCGTGGTTATTTTCCTGGGCTCTTCAGCTGCAATAGCACTGACATCACCTTTGTACACTGAACTCTGTTTGGACACTGTTTGGCCATGATGTATTACTGGAGTTTTGTTTTTGTGTTATTTTCATACAACCTTCAGCAGTAGTTGTTCAGTGATTAGATTTTTTTTAATTTCAATGAACAGAAACCAAATATTTTATATGCAAGTCACTTTATAAATTTAAATGAAGATGGTGGTGAACGGTGAAATAGTTGGTAAATTGGGAATAAACTACACATAGTACTTTTTGTTTAGTTCACTTTTCACTTTGTTCTGGCAGCACATTGTATTGTTTTGTATTTGTGGTAAATATCATCAGATATTTAGAGGGTTGTTTTGATGTTAGACTTGTTAAAGGGATGATCTTTGTAAATATTTGAATAAAGTTGATTATACACCTTGTATTTTTTTAATGCTTCTAACAAAGCTTCATCTGTAGCAGTATACACTCGAAAAATTACATTCTGGCTTCTTATTCAAACTACTTATTTAAATAAGCTAAAGCAAAACAATTCTGGAGATTGTTTTGGGAAACCTAATTGTTTTATGATCAATCTACTTAAATTAGTTATGTTAACTTAATGGATTTGTGTTGGGAAACATTAATGAATTGTGTGCAAATCTGCATTTTTTAGTGTGTACCGTATAATGTGAAAAAAAAAACTTTTTAAAATGAGTTGAAACAGCATAATTGTTAAGTTTTTTGGGACAATTTATTTAAGCTCAATCCACTCTAATTTGTAAAAACATTTAAGTGTGTTGGGACAACATGAAGGAATTGTGTGAAATAGCATTTTTTACCGAACAAAAGCAGAATAAATACAGAAATTACAACTGCAAAAGAAATGGTTTTAAATTAAATAACAGGAAAGAGTTTTGTTGGTGCAACATTAAGGAATTAAGTTAACTTGTTAGTTTATACAAATTTAAGTGGGTTGAACATATAAGACAATTGTGTTGTACCCGAAAAATTCAAAAACTGTGTTGTTTCAATCCTTCATTCATTCATTTTCTGCCGCTTTTCTGGTGCCGGGTCGCAGGGGCAGTAGTCTTAGGAGAAAACCCCAGACTTCCCTCTCCCCAGACACTTCCTCCAGCTCCTCCGTGGGGATCCCGAGGCGTTCACAGGCCAGCCGGGATACATAGTCCCTCCAGTGTGTCCTGTGTCGGGACTATGTCTCCCGGCTGGCCTGGGAACGCCTCGGGATCCCCCCAAAGGAAAAAATTTAATTTCCGATCAATTTAATTAGGTAGTTTGAACAAACAGCAAATGTAATTTTTTGAGTGTTTCAAAATTGCTAATGTAATCAAAGCAGCATAATAAAACAATATCATTCATAAACAACAACAAAAAATATATAGATTTATTATTTTTATTAGAACTGTGAGTGAAATTATCTTGCAATTGTGATATATAATTTCAAAATAGCATTAAATTCTGTAATAACTCTAAAAGAAATATTACTATTTTTCCAAGTACTGGGTTACAGCTGGAAGGGTGTAAAAACATATGCTGGATAAGTTGGCGGTTTATTCCGCTGTGGCAACCCCTGATGAATAAAGGGACTGAGCTGAAGGAAAATGAATGAATAAAAAATAAATAAATAAATCAGTAATATATATTTTTAAGTTAGAACTGTGAGGTAAATACCCATATGAGAATCAGAATTATCAGATTGAAACGTTTCTAAATAATTTTTTGTTCTGTCATGAAAACAGGGTTCAAATTTGAGTAAAGCTAATTGTCACTATATATCAAGTGTCATGATCACCAGCAATCTCTAACCACCAGCAGAGGTCCGTTCTTCGTACCTCGCTTAAATGATCTAAGATGATTTGGCAGATCCTGGATCTTTTAATCTCGATAACTGATCTCTCGCTAATTTGGTTCTTTAAACAAGTTCGCGAATCAGATTAGAATGTCTGGATGAACTGATCTGAGATCGCTGAGTGTTGTAAAGGACAGATCTATCGATCCTTGAAATCATGATCAGCAATGCAACGATTGGCTGACGGCACAGCAGCGTAATGACATCATCTGATTAATATTCAATTATCCATGTGAGCAAAATTACATCAAATTAGCAGTAAACGGCTTGTTAAATATGACACGCAATAACCTTCCACATTTTTTGTGAGCGGCTTTCCACTTTCATGTGTCAAGTGTATTCATCATGTATTTCAATGCATAGAAAAGATTTTCTTTATTATAGTAGCCGTTTTTAATCGGTGTAAAGAATAACTGGTTGTTTACAAAAGCATTTTGATATTGGTAAAGGCATCTGCAACTTTTGTGAAGTATCAATCACCGGCATATTAACTATCAAAACATGTTCATGACCGCATATGTATTATTGCTTTAAAAAAGTCACATATTGTGCATTTCTATTATACACAATTTGGACTAAAGCGATCTAAAAAGTTCATATCAATAAGTTTTCTCTTTGCACCACCATGTGGCAGTCTTTGTACTTTCATTTCGAGGGTGCAGATTGCATGTGTTTTATTAATATGTATAACACTATTTATTTCATTAATGACTATAACTTTATATATATAGTTAAAAAATATGTAGGCTACCATTTTCCCAAGTGTATATAACTACTACTGTTAGAAAATATCAGAATTCGGAACATACTTTCTGTATTATCTTTGCTTGAACTGAGCCGATCTAATCCTGTTTATATGAATTGAACCTGCTCCCAATCAGGTTTGATCTACCAGAACTGTTGCTATGACAACAACTCTCGGATCAGTTTTGAAGAACGAAACGATCCTGGATCGTGTCAAATCGTCAATATCCAAATCCAGCTAACTGAGTAATCCACGTACGAAGAACGGACCCCAGAGGTGGCTTCATACATGCACTTCACCCACACAAACACACACACACACAAACACGCGCTTCCTCGTTTAGACTGATTACACTCGCACCACCTGAGGATTGTCAAGACTGATTACACACACTATTTAAGCAGCACACACACTCAATCTCATTGCCGAGTCTTGTCCATCTGTATAGTGACATTACAGCGCGTATTGTGTGTAGTGGGCGAAGTGCACGTATAAAGTTGAAGTCCATTTACAAGCAGATTTGTACGGAACCCCGGAAGGGACGTAGTGGAGGAGAAAAAAATTGGCTGAGTGAAAAAAAAAAAAAATGGGTGAAAGAAAAAAATGGGTGGGAGGAAAATATATATTTCTAAGTTTTTGCAATCTATCGCAAAGATGGTTTGCGTTCTCTCGCTAAACTGTTTCTCCACAAACACTTCCTGTTCACTTCACTCATGTACCTCCTGTTTTTGCCGAAATTCTCCCATATTTTACCATTCTATCCCACTTTCTTTACATTAAATCTGTGCGTTGATCGTTGCCTTTCACTTTGCAACCTCTGAACCAGCAAATGCATGTATAAGCGCTGACTGACAGACGCGCTTCGTACAATAAACTGATCCCAGATCAGCGTCTGTACGCCCCATTTAAAGGGACACTTCTGTTATCAAACAAGTGAGCGGCAATGAATCTCATGTTTTGTTTAGTTTGATAACAGAGGTGTCTCTGTAAGAATAATGCACAGATCAATAATTGAAAGCAGTCCATTACTTTAGAAACTGTTTGTGCTCATGTTAGAGAAAAAAAGCTGTTTACAATAAAACATGCAGGACGGAGATGTTTACATATTATTCAGTGTATTTGTCAGTTTAAACATACACCCGCTCCTCTTTGCTCCTCTGTAAATGGCGCGTACAGACGCTGATCTGGGATCAATTTATTGTACGGAGCGAGTCTGTCCGTCAGCGCTTATACATGCATTCACTGGTTCAGAGGTAGCATATGAAAGGCGACGATCGACGCACAGATTTAATGTAAAGAAAGTGGGATAGAATGGTAAAATACGGGAGAATTTCGGCAAAAACGGGAGGGTTTATATGAGTGAAGTGAACAGGAAGTGTTTGTGGAGAACGCAAAACATCTTTGCGAGAGAACGCAAACTTTGCGAGGGAACGCAAAACATCTTTGCGAGAGAACTCAAAACTTTGCGAGAGAACGCAAAAACCTAGAAATATATATTTTCCTGCCACCCATTTTTTTCTTTCACCCATTTTTCTTTTTTTTTTTCACCCAGCCAATTTTTTTCTCCTCCACTACGTCCCTTCCGGGGTTCCGTAGATGTGTAGTTCTATGAGTGTGAATGTTTTCCAGTGACCTCTGGTGGTTAGAGATCGCTGGTGATCATGACATCAAGTTTACTGCATTATGTGGCATTAAAGTTGTATGACTCTCAGAAAGTTACAGTATCTGCTGTAAGAATATAATGATAGTGAGGCAGTGGTGCAGTAGGTAGTGCTGTTGCCTCAAAGCAAGAAGGTTGCTGGGTCGCTGGTTCGATCCTCGGCATTTCTGTGTGGAGTTTGCATGTT